CAGACAGACAGACAGACAGACAGACAGACAGACAGAATGCAGAATCGAATGTCGGAGAACTTTGTATGAGCTTGGCAGGCTGGATTGCTGCCAAGCCTTATCTGTGTTTATTGCTGCCCAAGTTTGTCTGTGCTGGGTTGCTGCCAAGCCTTATCTGTGTTTATTGCTGCCCAAGTTTGTCTGTGCTGGGTTGCTGCCAAGGACCTGTTTGTCTGTTAATTAAATGCTGTAATTTATCTCTGGCTCGGAGTGTGCTTTGGTGTGGAATGAGGTGGGTCAGAACACGTCACTAACAAACAGCCGAGAGTCGAGGACTGCCCAAAGCTTCCTATATCCCCGTCTTGACCCTCCCCTGCAGTTGTCCCCTTACTCTTTCTGGGACAACCTCGGCTTCCCCCATTTCTTGCTCTCCAACTTACCCGCTGCGGCCTTCCTCCCAAGGCACCCGTGCTGGGAAGCTTAGAGCCACCTGAGGGTGTATCGCCTCCGGCAGCTGAAACCTCCCGAGGAGGCTTTGGTGCCTTTCTTTCAACGGAAGAGACACCGTCCAAATCCGAAGGCGGGAGACGCATCGGGCTCGTTACCGGAAACAGAGACTTTGTTCCCATTTGTGTAAAGGACAGCTGGGCATCGTTTGCTGGAGCGTGACGAGACGAAGGATCCATAAAGGGCTGCGTCTGCTCTTCCGGCGAGCCCTCGTAAGCTGCACAGAAACAGTATCGACACAATTTATTTGCACACCACTGACACACTACAAGTCGTGCATTTTCTGAGCACCCAACAGCTGCCCTCCTCCGGGAGCGTAACTACTAAACACCAAGTGTGAAATATAGCGGTACATAGAGCACAAACAACCACAGATTATAGTCCTCGACTTACAATCCTTTGTTTAGCGATGGTTCATATTTACAACATACTGGAGGGAGAGAAAAAAAGACAGTTTTTCACACTCACAACTGCTGCAACATCCCCACCGTCACATGATCAAAATCGGGACACTTGGCAACCCGGCATGTATTTATGACGACTGCAGCATCCCGGGGTCGCCTGATCCCCATTTGTGACCTCCCCAGCCTGCTTCCAACAATAGGGGAAGCCGGGTGTTGCTTAACGACTGCCTGATTTGCTTAACAACTGTGCTGACGTGCGTAGCGGCTGCGGAACAAAAAGTCGTAAAACTGGGCACGACTTCCTTAAGCCGCACGTGGCTTAGGAACCCAAATTCTAGTCTCAATTGTAGTCGTACGTTGAGGACTATCTGTGACATCTTGCAAGGAGGTCAGCCGAGGGTCCCTGATCTCCCCCCCCCCCCGGCTGTGTTCCACTACCTGTTTGGAAGCGGGCTGCACAAATGGTGGGCGAGGGCTTGTGCCTACCGCTTACACAAATAGAGTTGCACGCCTTTGCCCCTGCCCAGCTGCCACTCACATGGAACTATCCCCTCCGTCCCCAGCGGGCCACCAAGCCAGAAAGGTTGGGGACCGTTGATGTAGGCCCATGAGGGTGAACCTCTAGCACATGTGCCGGAAGTGGCAAGCAGAGCCATCTCTCCGGGCACGTCAGCCACCGGCCTTTAACCGTCTGGGTTCTGGCGTGTGTGCATGCCAGAAACCAGAACTCCAGGTCATCAGCGCACATGTGCACACTGAAAACTGGAAGCTCAGCTTCCCAGCGCACCCAAGAACCGCTCTTCCAGTTTCCGGCACTCCCGTACATGCACACTGGGGGAGCTACTCTTCCAGTTTCCAGTGCTCCCTCACGTGTGTGTGTTCCTGTTTCGGCACTCGGTGCTGAAAAAGTTCGCCAACATTGATGTAGGCCAGTGGTTCCCAAACTTGACAACTTTAAGACTTGTGGACTTCAACTCCCAGAATTCTCCAGCCATCTCCAACCACCAGAGCTGGCTGGAGAATTCTGGGAGTTGAAGTCCACAAGTCTTAAAGTTGCCAAGTTTGGGAACCATTGATGTAGGCCAACAACATTGGGGCAACCTGGTTGTTTGAATCAAGACAGGACACCCTCAACTCTTGTGCGGGAGGCTTATGCGACCTTCCCCCTTTGGAGTTTGACCTCAGCTTTTCACCTGGGAGATTTTTCCTCGGGTCATCTTGGCGACTTTGTAGACTGTCCGCAGCTGGCGGATTTCCCCACTTTTGGTCCCCTCGGAGGACATGGACCTTCCGTTCGGCCGCCAAATCCTCTCTCGGACCGCCCAACACCAACAAGCCGCTATCGCTCGAATAATAATCCTCTTCGGGCTGATTGCTAGAAGTACCTGTGGGCAACGCTGAACTTGTCACGCTCTCCTCTGAGCGGTGCACATTGCCAAAGCACCCGTTTTTCACCGTCACCGGGCGGTGCTGACGTCCGTCCCACTTCCGCTCCACCTCAGCCGAGGTTGAAATCGCTTGAGAGGGAAGCGGGACCGACTCTTTGACAGGATATGGCCCTGGAGACTCAACCGCTACGTCTCCTCCGACGGCCGCTCCGATATTAGATGCCGAACTGACGCCAGAAGTGGAGGAAAAACCTGGCTCTGCTCCTTTGTCTGCGGTCTGCAAAAAAGGAGGATATTATTTCTGACGTTAAGCCAATTTTATACACTGTTTATATACTGATTATATTGTACACTGCGCAGAGCATTGGGAACTGCTGCTATAAAGGAGCAAACTCACCAACCTGGGGTGATAGGATTCCTGTCTCTCACACTACTGGGATTGATGCACAGAACTGCCAATGAAAGCCGGTTTCATCTACTGGTTAAAGCACTAGGCCCGAAAGTAGGAGACGGTGAGTTCTAGTCCCACCTTAGGAATGAAAGGCGGCTGGGTGACTTTGGGCCAATCACCAGGAGACAGTGAGTTCTAGTCCCGCCTTAGGCATGAAAGGCGGCTGGGTGACTTTTAGCCAATCACCCGGAGACGGTGAGTTCTAGTCCCGCCTTAGGCATGGAAGATGGCTGGGTGACTTTTAGCCAATCACCCGGAGACAGTGAGTTCTAGTCCCGCCTTAGGCATGAAAGATGGCTGGGTGACTTTTAGCCAATCACCTGGAGACGGTGAGTTCTAGTCCCGCCTTAGGCATGGAAGATGGCTGGGTAACTTTTAGCCAATCACCCAGAGACAGTGAGTTCTAGTCCCACTTTAGGCATAAAAGGCAGCTAGGTGGCTTTGGGTCAAACACCAGGAGACAGTGAGTTCTAGTCCCAGTTTAGGCATGAAAGGCGGCTGGCTGACTCCAGACCAGTTCCTTCCTCTCAGCCCAACCCTCCCCACAGGGTCGTCGTTGTGAGGAAAACCGGGGGGGGGGGGAGGTTGTATTGGATATGTTTGTAGCCTTGAATTATTTATAAAAAGTAATAAAAGGCAGGATAAAAATACAAAATAAAATAATAATGCAATGCAATGCTATAATATAAACAATATAGAATATACAATCGTATACATTATAATTATATATAATATGTACATAATGTATGATGCTATATATGATGTAATATATATCACATATAAGATAATGTATGTATAATAGTATATATATATATATATAATATATAATGTAATTATATGGCATAGCATAACATAACATAAACTGACTGAAAGAGCTAGCAATCACCTGGCGTTTAAGCAATCAATCTAAAAATCAATCCAAAAGCTGCCCAGAGTCACCTCAAGCAAGATGAGCAGCAAATAAATTTCACACATACATACATGCATACACACACGCATGGATACACATACCTTAGGATGTACCGCTAACTTGGTGTTTTCAGCCAGATGGCTGTTTTCTTGAACGGGAATCCGGCAATCCCCCGTATCCTGGGGGGGCAGATTGGCAGATGGAGCAGCCAATCGCGGAGGAGACGATAGGACATGTCCAGGATGATTCTGCTGATTTGCTTCAGGCCAGAGAGGCGGAGCCAAAGGCTGATGGGCAGCTGGGGTTGCCGAAACTGCTGGAGGGGTCTTTCGCGGGGCTGGGGGAGGACAACGTTGCATGCAGGCGGACATTATATGGAGGGAGAGAGAGAGAAGGAAAAGATGCAGTGTCAGTCCTACTAGACCAGACAGGAAATGCCACCAGGTGACCTAATTCTACTTTACACACAGTCCTCGACTTACAACCATTCATTTAGTGACCGTTCAAAGTTGCAACCGAACTGAAAAAAAAGTGGCTTAGGACGGTTTTTCATACTTACTGACTGTGGCACCATCCTCATGAATTTGGGTGCTTGATAATTAGCTCACATTTAGCAATGTCCCGGAGTCGCGTCATCTCCTTTTGCGACCTCCTGGCAAGCAAAGTCAACGGGGAAGCCGGGTTTCCCTTAACAACCGTGTTCCTCACTTAACAATGGCAGCGATCTCGCTGAACAACGGTGGGAAGAAAGGTTGCAAAACGGGGCATTTCTATTCAAATTTCTGTCGCTCAGCGGAGATTGTTGTTAATCTCGCTTAGCAACAGAAATAGCAATATAGCAATAGCAGTAGACTTATATACCGCTTCATAGGCCTTTCA